ATCTCGGCTCACCGCAACCTCCGCCTCCTGGGTTCAGGCAATTCTCCTGCCTCAGCCTCCTGAGTAGCTGGGATTACAGGCACACACCACCATGCCCAGCTAATTTTTTGTATTTTTAGTAGAGACGGGGTTTCACCAGGTTGACCAGGATGGTCTCGATCTCTCGACCTCGTGATCCACCCGCCTCGGCCTCCCAAAGTGCTGGGATTACAGGCTTGAGCCACCGCGCCCGGCCGAACACTGTGTATTTTTAAAAAGTAGAGCTCATGGAAGTATAAAGTAGAACAGAAAGTTCTAGAAACTGGGAAGGGTAGAGAAAGTAGGGGATAGGGAGAGATTTGTTGAAGGGCACAAATTACAGTGAGGTAAGAAGAATGTGTTTGGGTGTCCTATAGCATTGCACAATGATAATATATAATAGTAGGGTATTATATAGCTTCAAATAGCTAGAGGGAGGATATTGAGTATTTCCAACCCAAAGAAATGATCAATGTTTGGATGATGGGTATGCTAATTACTTTGATCTGATTACTATACATTGTGTGTACCAAAACATCACTATGTACCCCGTAAATATATACAATTGTTACGGGTCCGTTAAAAAAAATTTTTTTTAAAGAAAAGAAAATCTTGCCTAGTTCTGTATTGCTGCTTTCTAAAGGTAAACTTTGGACCTCAAGTGTTTCACAGAATTGAATAAGGAAGCTCTTTTCTGTGACTGATTCTTCATTAAACAACAGCGAGGAGGCAGTTGCAATGATTTCTCTCTTTCTAATTCTACTAGGGTGTGTGTGCATGTGTGTGCATGCATGCACACACACTCATGTTCAACTTGCCCTAGTTTGAGGGTTAACCTATTCCAGGCACAGTGCTAAGTGCTGGAGATATGTTATCTCATTCAGCCTCTATGAATTAAGGAAGGCAGGTAACTTACCCAAGGCCACATACATCCAGTGAGTGGTTTTGACTATCAAACCCAGACCTGTTTTACCCTTTATCCACCATCCAGTTACCACTACTACAGTGGAAATCTGTATATCCAGGGCAGGCTGGCTCAGTGACTTTGCAGGGATTTCACCTGGTACCCAGGCACCATCTTCGCCCTGAAGTAACCCCAAGGCTAATGGCATGAAACAGAGCCAACCAGCATTAATGCTGCCAGGTACAGAGAGGGGCTCTTGAGCTGTGGAGTCTGCCAAGACTTTCTTGCCTATTTTCTGTGGGCTTGGAATCTAGGCTAATTATTGTAAATGATAATAATTTGGGTAGCATTAATGAGCCGTGGAACTCAGGGCCAAATCTTAACTAATCCCATTACTAGCAACATGATCATCCAAAAATTGTGTGCTTTACCTCCCTTGAGTTTCATATTGTTGTGATTTGTGTCATTCCTGAACAGTTAATTCTAAGATTGGACTTAATAAATCATTTCCTATTGAAAGGTTAGGCAGGGGTGAAAGAGAAAACAATGAAGTTTTCACTGGAGCTAGAAATCCTTTAATCTTCTTGGACTCAAGTTTCTGTAGGCCTGTTTTTTTTTTTTTTTTTTTTTTTTTTTTTTTTTTTTTTTTTGAGACGGAGTTTCACTCCTGTTACCCAGGCTGGAGTGCAATGGCGCGATCTTGGCTCACCGCAACCTCCGCCTCCTGGGTTCAGGCAATTCTCCTGCCTCAGCCTCCTGAGTAGCTGGGATTACAGGCACGCGCCACCATGCCCAGCTAATTTTTTGTATTTTTAGTAGAGACGGGGTTTCACCATGTTGACCAGGATGGTCTCGATCTCTCGACCTCGTGATCCACCCGCCTCGGCCTCCCAAAGTGCTGGGATTACAGGCTTGAGCCACCGCGCCCGGCTGTAGGCCTGTTTTTTAAATCTAGAGTCTGACTTCCAGTATTGTTTTACATTCTTACTGATTCTTTCAATGATGAAGCAAAGAGTACCTCAGTAAATGTTCCTGAGTATCCAAATGTGATTAGTGACTGTTACTAAGAGAACCAGATGAAGAGTCCAAATGATTTAGCCGTGTAACCTAGGAGGGACATGAAATGGAGATAATTGAGGACCGGTAAACACAGGGTGGTTAGCTTACAGAGAGGGACAACCTGAACCATTTCTAAAAGGGGGACCTGCAATAATGTCCCATGATGTGCTGTGTGAATCTGACGCTATCTGGATTTAGTAGATGAGAACCATGAGGTCCTGGATTTTTGGTAAGGATGAAGCTTTCATGTGTCCAGTTGCATTTGAGACCTGCAACTGAAGTATGTCAGAATCCAGGAAAGAGCTACAAACAGCCAAGGCAGGTGGATCATGAGGTCAGGAGTTCAAGACCAGCCTGACCAACATGGTTAAACCCCGACTCTACTAAAAATACAAAAAATAGCCAGGGGTGGTGGTGGGTGCCTGTAATCCCAGCTACTCGGGAGGCCGAGGTAGGAGACTCACTTGAACTGGGGAGGCGGAGATTGCAGTGAGCCAAGACCACGTCATTGCACTGCAGGCTGGCGACAAAGTAAGACACCATCTCCAAAAAAAGAAAAGCTACAAACGTTAAGTCAAAGATTGGAACATAGGTTCTACAGTGGAACAACTTACAGGTGTTCGATTTTTGTTAGCAAGAGGAGACAAAAATTATAGCATCCAGGTATATGACTGAAAACATCGATTAGGTTGTTCATTCAAGCTAATATTTGTTAGCTGCTTTGGAAGTATAAAAATAGTATGTTGGCCGGGCGCGGTGGCTCAAGCCTGTAATCCCAGCACTTTGGGAGGCCGAGGCGGGTGGATCACAAGGTCGAGAGATCGAGACCATCCTGGTCAACATGGTGAAACCCCGTCTCTACTAAAAATACAAAAAATTAGCTGGGCATGGTGGCGCATGCCTGTAATCCCAGCTACTCAGGAGGCTGAGGCAGGAGAACTGCCTGAACCCAGGAGGCGGAGGTTGTGGTGAGCCGAGATCGCGCCATTGCACTCCAGCCTGGGTAACAAGAGCGACACTCTGTCTCAAAAAAAAAAAAAAAAAAAAAAAAAAAAAAAAAAGTATGTTTCTGCGGTGATAGATGTATTCTCTGTTTCAAGCTCAAATTGAGTAGAGGAGGGAGAGAACAAAATCCATGTCAGAGTTAAAATGTCCTTAGACATTGAGAGTTCTTGATGATGAGGGTTGTAAGTGCCTGTATGTGTGGTAATTGATGAAATACAGGTTTTCTGCTCAGACACTTTAAATAAAAGAGAATAGTATACTTATGGGGACAATGTAAGTGAAGCAGAGCTGTTTGATACCATGGCACAGTTCTTTCTAGCCTTATGATTTGCAATGCCCTTTCTACCATTGGAAGAAACAGAACTGTTGATTCTGGGAATTCTGATTAGATTATTCTCACATCTGTCAACTCTTTACTAAAATCGGCCAAAACTTCCGTGGTTTCCTGTGGAAATACACTTTTTTCTCCCTCCTACCAAAGAAATCCTGCCAAGGTTTTAGTGGGGTTATGTTGATTCTGTTGTTTAATTCATGAAGAATGAACATCTCTACAACATCAGGCTTCTAATCCTTGACCACAGTATCTCTCTCTCTTTATTTAGGTCTTTAATTTTTCTCAGCAGACTGTGATACTTTTCACGGTAGAGATCTTGCTCATCTTTAATTAGATTAATCTCCCTAGGTATTTAAAGTTATTTGATGCAGTTGTCAGTGGCATGGTGGGAGCCACTGAAATGCACACCCACTAACACCTGTCCATTTCTGACACTTCTGCTCACCATGGGCATGCAAAGTAAAGTTATAATCAGCTTTTCCATTTGTAGAGAGTCAGTGTTCCTTTTCTAACCCATCAAGGTAGAAAAAGCATAATAGCTTCACTGCGGGAAACTTATTTCAGAATCCAAACACTGGCAGCCCAGAAATTACTCCTTCAGTCTAACCTAAATTTCTCTGGTCAGCATTTCAGCTTATTTTCCTTCTGTTTGGTTTGAAGATTGCCTTCCACAAAGGTTTCCTATCTGGCACTCTGCTATTGAAATCATCACGTTTCACCCAGGAAAAGCATGTTAAAATATGCATAACTTATTAGGAGGGAATTTGTTCATGATATAAAACATGAAGTTAAAAAATACAATAACATTCTAATTTTATTTTTTAAATGTATGTGCTTAGGGAAAAATGCCAAAAGAAAATGCATAACAGTGGTTATTTCTGGGTGATTAGTTAATGGACTATTTTAATACCTGTCTGCATTTTCTAAGTTTTTATAAGCAACATGCATTATGTTTGCACTAAGCAAAAATAATAAGCATTTTTAAGTGAACAAAATCACGTTTTAAATATGTATTAGGACTGGGCACAGTGGCTCACGCCTGGAATCCCAGCACTTTGGAAAGCTGAGGCAGGCAGATCACTTGAAGTCAGGAGTTCAAGACCAGCCTGGCCAATGTGGCAAAACCCCATCTCTACTAAAAATACAAAAATTAGCCAGGTGTAGTGGCGGGTGCCTGTAACTCCAGCTACTTGGGAGGCTGAGGCACGAGAATTGTTTGAATCTGGGAGGCAGAGGCTGCAGTGAGCGAGAGTGCCCCTGTACTCGAGGCTGGGCAACAGAGTGAGACTGTCTCAAAATAAATAAGTAAATAACTAAATCCGTATTAAAATTGCTGGTGTGCACTTTTCTTTCCCCCTTTCTTATATAAAGTCTATTAGAATGTGCTAGTAAAATTAAAACAGGTATGTGACATATCTTAAGATAAGAAAAATAAACTTCTGTTTCAGGAACACACCAAACTGTCTGTCTTCCTGCCAGTTCTTCTGACTAGCTGTGAATTCCACGCAGTGCTGGAATGTGCTTCTCACAGTTAGAGCACTGAGCACCTGTTTTATTTCACACTCCCTTGATTCCTGGGGTAAATCCCATCTCCACAGCGTGGGCTCCAGTTAAATTCATTAGTGGTCCAGATGTGTGGCCCCTGTCAGCTGGCCAAGTAACCCCACTGTTTATTGACAGGTTCTCAGGAATCGGATAGCTCGCAGTCGGCCAAGAAGGACATGCTGGCTGCCTTGAAGTCCAGGCAGGAAGCTCTGGAGGAAACCCTGCGTCAGAGGCTGGAGGAACTGAAGAAGCTGTGTCTCCGAGAAGCGGTAAGCCTTTCCTAGCTCGTCCTGTTGAAATTGGTGTTGCCTGTGATGTCATTGATCTTTTTGATGTCATTTGATTATTTTGACAGAAGGCAAGGGTGGTGATAAAAAGAGAGCCTGGCTGGCTGGTGAGCACTCTCCTGCAATACAAATGTTGGAAACGTCCAGACCTCTCTAACGTGCTTTGTCAGAGAAAGAATTAGAACAGAACCACGTTAGCACAAATCCATTGCAAATCTTAGGAAAGCAATTGGCCTGGCTGGGGAATGAGCTATCTGATACTGTTAGTATTAGTGAATTTTCATAATGAATATGCTTAAAGGGTTGGAAAACATATGGGTTTTGGTATCTGCCTTTAATAATTTGGAAAGCGTTGTTTTGTTTTCAGTAAAAGAAAAGGTCCCTAAACCCATCAGAGAATTAGTTGATAAGCACTATGAGGACCAGTTAAAGTTGGTGCTGGCAAAATCGCAGATAGGACCCCACGGGAGTCCGTGCAACAAGTCCTAATGATGATCCTTCATCCTTGCTTGGTAGTTCATAAAGCATCTCCTCACGTGATGCCTTATTGATGATAATGGCTGGCCACCGTCTTCTCAAGGCTTTGTGCCTGAGTTTATTGTTGTGATGGCTTTTGTTCATCTTTAGGGTATTTCAGATTAGTCTTTGGACATCTTAGTGAGATGCACTGGTGGCCAACAAGGAAACCAGGATCTCACTTCACATATAATCACCTTTAGACCCTGTGATCTGGTGTTTCTTTAACTTTTTCATTAAAAAAGATGAAATCTTAGCCTAATTACATTTTAAAATGTTACATAGCCCAGGTATTACACACCTGTAATACTGGCACTTTGGGAGGCTGAGGCAGGAGGATCACTGGAGGCCAGGAGTTAGAGACGCTTCTGGGCAACATAGTGAGACCCTGTCTCTACAAAAAAAAAAAAACTTTTTAAAAAGATACCTCGAAGTAGTGGTGTGTGTCTGTACTCTCAGCTAGTCGGGAGACTGAGGTGGGAGGATTCCTTGAACCTGGAAGGTTGAGGCTGAGTGAACCATGATCACGCCATTGCACTCCAGCTTGGGTGACAGGGCAAGACCCTGTCTCACCAAAAAAAAAAAAAAAAAGAAAAAAGAAAAAATGCAAAGTAATGCTTTCTCAAGCCTGTGTATGTGCTAGTCTCACAGAATTTGCCGCAAGCTGCTGTCTACATTTGTTTAAGTATCCATTTCTACCTTCTGTTTATTGCATGACTCCGTTAGATGTGTTTGAAGACTTCATGTTTTAATGCAGTACACGTGACTTTGTGCATGTGTGTGTGCACACACGTGTGCATTGTGTACCTGGGCACAGTGGGGTGGGAGGGAGGTCTCTAGGGAGAGAGCGACTGTGCACCACCTAACGTTACAAAGAGCTCTGCTGGTAAACAGTTCAGAATGGGAAGTCAAAGAGGTTCCCAAACTAAGTCAAAGAGACGTATGCCCCTCCCCCAAATACCGAAGCCTTCCAGCAGGAAGAATGAAACAAGGGGCCGGGGAATGAGATCACATTACATTTCAACTTGGCTTAATTACAGTCTGGCTTGATTTAATCTGGGGCCTGCTCAGAGCAGACCCAGGTTAGCACAAATCCATTGCACATCTTAGGAAAGCAATTGGCCTAGCTGGGGAATGCGCTATGTGATACTGTTAATATTAGCAACATTTTATAAAGAATAGGCTTGAAGGACGGGGAAAAAATACGGGTTTTGGTGTCTGTCTTTAATAATTTGGGCAGCCTCGTTTTGTTTTTAATAAAAAGTCCCTAAACCGAGTAGGCAATCGACATTTGAAAAACGCAAGGCGCATGCCAGGGCAAGATGAATATGCGTTATCAGAAAAATCTCAGCATCTCTCTTAAAGACAAAAGCAAAAGAAGGAAAACAAAGCTGCCGCTTCTTACAATGTTAACTAACACCAGACAGCGTCACTTGAATGGAGGCAATAACCCAGCAACGAGTCAGTTGCAGGCAGATTTCTCCTCCGTTCATTCCCTGTGGTTTCTCTCTTCACTCCCATGTCCTCAAGGGCTGGGGGCAAGTCTTCTTGCTCAATCTGTGCTGTTTGGTATCTCTACCCTCAGCTCAGAGTATCAAGAAGTGCTGTTTGACCCCTGGGGAGGGGGGCAACTAGAATGAGGGAGAGGGAGAACATTTGGCAGGATACAGGGAGGCACCAAGCCGAGGTCCCACTGCAGAGCGTTAAATTACGTCTTCACCATGCAGCTCTGGTTACACATGAAATCAGATTAAGTATCTGGAGAATCAAGACTTCGACTCAAATGCCTTCAAGTGCATGGTGAAAAAAATCAGTAGCCCTCCTTGAAACTAGATTTTAAAACCACAAACAGTTTAGAGTTAGAAATCTATGGCAGTTTTAACAACTTTTCCCTCCTTTTTGGAAGTTTCTAGGTTAAAGAAAAAATAAAATCCTGACAATATAAAACCCTCAATAGTTGTGTTATTTGTCGACAGACTTTTAGGGAAGCAGATTTAAAAAAAAAAAAAAAAAAAAAAAAAAAAAGTTGGCCGGGCGCGGTGGCTCAAGCCTGTAATCCCAGCACTTTGGGAGGCCGAGGCGGGTGGATCACAAGGTCAAGAGATCGAGACCATCCTGGTCACCATGGTGAAACCCCGTCTCTACTAAAAATACAAAAAAATCAACTGGGCATAGTGGTGCTTGCCTGTAATCCCAGCTACTCAGGAGGCTGAGGCAGGAGAATTGCCTGAACCCAGGAGGCGGAGGTTGCGGTGAGCAGAGATCTCACCATTGCACTCCAGCCTGGGTAACAAGAGCTAAACTCCGTCTCAAAAAAAAAGAAAAAAAAAAAAAGTTGCAGAGTAACACTTAACTACTTTGCAGACATTTGAACCACTTTTTTTTTTTTTTAAAGAAAAAAACAGGGAAGCAAATTACAGGGAGTTTGATACCCAGATAGTTGGCTATTGTGCTCTGAAATGCTTACACTGAGGAATATAAAGTCCACGGGGTCCTTGCCCAGCGATCTGAGCACAGCAGGGAAGAAGCAGGCGAATGAGGGTTTAAGTGTGCTGATGCTCATGTCACATGCATGCACATGCACACACATGCACACACACATGCACACGCACACACACGCACTTGGCACACAGTAGTTAGAGAAGAAGGGCCAGAATCACTGTCTCACGATTTGGATTCTCCTACATGCTGGGCACTCAGGCCTGGGCTGCCCTGCATGAAAGCTTTCTGTGTGACTGACAGATGTTCCTGAAAAGAGCCTTCTCAACTTCCTGGTCACAGCAGCTCCTGAGTCTTTGTGTAGCAGCTTCGTTGATTTGGGCTAGAAAGTCAGAACTGGTCTTTACCTGGCAGTGCCCACTTTGCCATTGGAGGCACACACGCAGTGGGTCCCCCAGCTTTTTCTGGTCCCTGGAAGTGACTTCTTGCAGTTGATGACTGGCCTCTGCAGTGCAGGGCAGCCGCTGACTCTGATTTGATCATTGTTCAGCCCTGATACAACTCACTCGCAGATAGCCTCATTCTAATCCTCAGCCACCCCCAGAACCTCAGCCTTCCACCGGGATCACTGTGACCATGGAAGTCTGTCAACTAAATTCACTGTCTTTGTACCTACAGCAATTAGATTTCCAAGGCCCTAAATACATACACAATAGATGTTGTTTAGTAGCCTTGTCAGTAACATGGATTATATGTTTTATGTTCAGTTTCTGCTAAACTTTTTTGTTTAATAGACAGAGTCTTGCTCTGTTGCCCAGGCTGGAGTACAGTGGCACGATCTCGGCTCACTGCAAGCTCTGTCTTCTGGGTTTAAGCAATTCTCCTGCCTCAGCCTCCCAAGTAGCTGGGATTACAGGCACCCACCACCATGCCCAGCTAATTTTTGTATTTTTAGTAGAGATGGGGTTTCATCATTTGGCCAGGCTAGCCTCGAATTCCTGACCTCAAGAGATCCGCCCACCTCAGCCTCCCAAAGTAGTGAGATTACAGATATGAATCACTGTGCCTGGCCATTCTACTAAAACTTTTAAATTAAAAACTTTAATGTCTTTTAAGCACAGCCTTTTCCTATAGCATCTGGCCAGAGTAGATTACTACCCTTACTCAGTTTCTAAATTATGTATAAATGTGCTTTTCTGGGATTTGCCATATAGATACCATTCCGCTTATGAAAATTCATTAGAAGGAAACTTTAAACTTAGATATTTGAGCGGGACTATTTGATGCAGTTTCAAGAGCTTGGAATTTGAAGTTAGGAAGACCCGAGAACTCATGTTGATGCTTGTTCCTAATTGGCTGGGTGACCTTACCTGGTACAGAGGGGGCAGGCAGGAAATATTTGTTCAGTTAACAAATGAATGAAATTGAAGTGTTACAATGAAAGCCAAAATGGTAATTGTGTTGACTTAACAGAAATGTACTTTGGAAAAAACTTTGAAAGTGCATCTATTCTATGTAAGAGACATTGTTAAAGAAATGGAATTTCATTTCTGGAACTCTTATTGAGGCGTAGTGCTTGATGTGAATGTTTCAGCATAGGCATTGAATCTGTGCATCAAAGCTCATGCATGCATTTGTGTGTGTGTGTGCGTGTGTGTGTGTGTGTGTGTGTGTGTGTGTGCGTTCTAGGAAGCAGACACGCCCCACTGTGATTTATGCTCACTCTGAATGCCATTTCACATATGCAGGAGCTCACCGGCAAGCTGCCAGTTGAATATCCCCTAGATCCAGGGGAGGAACCACCCATTGTCCGGAGAAGAATAGGAACAGCGTTCAAGCTGGATGAACAGAAAATCCTGCCCAAAGGAGAGGTGCGTCCTTCCTTTCTGTTGTTGGATTCTCTCATGTCATCCTACTTTTTCCCATTTGTTAGGCCTTCCAGGTTTTTGTTTGTTTGTTTGTTTGAACAATTTTTTCCTTTCTGCCCAATGCCAGTATTTTTGCTGAGAACTTTTCTTGAGTGAGCTGGCTAGTGGGTATGTGGCTCCCCTTGGGAGGATTCATTTGCCTTGATTTGCAGGCATTTGGGTGTCTGTTGAAGTTGCTTGTCTGACACTGTGCGCCTAGCACAAGCAGCCATGTTGAGCTTAGGGAAAACATTCCAGTAGCATTTGTGTGAATGTTTCTGGCATCGGCATTGCATGCATTTGTGTGTGCATATGTGCGTGTGTGTGTGTGTGTGTGTTCTAAGAAACAGACATGCCCCACTCTGATTTATGCTCACTCCGAATGCCATCTCACATAGGCATTTGTCCGCATTTGGCTTTGTAACGGCCTCTCAGCCTGCAGTTACTCAGAGCCAGGCTTGATGTCTGATCTGTGGAGGAAAAGCCGCCAAGAGAAGGAAACTGAGGCCATAGCATCAGGTGCATGGGTACACTGGCTGGGGAGAGACTGGTCGGACGCACCGCCCCGTGGTGGTCGTTTTCATCTGGCTCCTCGGATCCCCAGGAGAACGTGTGCAGGGTGCTTGGGTGCTCCTGGCCTCGCTTGTCTGTGTTTGGAAAATCCGCTTTTTTCCTTCCGACTGAACACTGGTGAAGCTGGGGCTGGAGAGTTCAGATGTGAGGGGAAAAAAAAAACAGTGAAGACTTGAATCTCCGGCTGGTTAATGAGAATCCAGCCTCAGGCCAAATGAAAGTAGAGGCCAGGCATGCATACCTTCAGGCCCCGGGGCCTGCCCAGGAAATGCTTTCCCACATTTATTCTGAACAAAGTTACTAATTAGCATGCTCTTGAACAGAGTCCTTACAAGGTCAGGACTTAGGGCCTGGGGGAAAAGGAATACTGTCTATTTTTAGTATTTTAAGAAAGTGATTGGGAAAAACTGACCCCTGGGGTAGGCAGGAATCGGTAAGGGTGAATTCAGAGAGAGACAGAAGAGCGTGCGGCTCATCTGAGTGTTAGAGGAATCTCCTAAGATCTACAGTGAACGTTCTCTGGGACACAGGTACCTACACCAATGTGTTTCAATCAAAACTAAAGCTCATGTGGCTGGGCGCAGTGGCCCACACCTTTTGCTGCAAAATCCCAGCATTTTGGGAGGCCGAGGCGGGTAGATCACTTGAGGTCAGGAGTTCGCAAGCAGCCTGGCCAACATAGTGAAACCCGTCTCTACCAAGTGGTGCGCTCCTGTAATCACAGATACTCAGGAGGCTGAGGCGAGAATCGCTTGAACCCGGGAGTCGGAGGTGGCAGTGAGCTGAGATCTTGTCGTACTCCAGCCTGGGCAACAGACTGAGATCCTGTCTCAAAAACAAACAAACAAACAAACAAAAAAACAAAAAAACCGCTAAAGCTCAATTAGACAGTTCCTGATCTGTAAAATGGAGCTCATGGCCCTTCTTTGGCGTCCCTAGGATTAAATGAGCCGGTACTTGGCACTGGAGATGCTCAGCAAACAGTTGCTTGAGGGGAAGGGGAGATGGAATCTCAAAGGAAGGGAGCCGCACTCAAGGCAGGAACTGCAGGGGATGGAGGATGGGATTGAGGTCAGGTATTTCCAAATCCTGCCGGTCATCAGAGACTCCCTCAAGAGGAACTTTAGCTGCTCCTGTTGCTGGGCAGATACGTGGCCCTTAAGCTTTAAAGAGGGACCCCACTTTTAGGGAGTTCCCCCCAACACTGTTCCTCCTTGGTCTTCCCAGAGTCCTACCACACCTTTCACACACCTCAGTACCTTGTGACTTTAGCTCCCTGAGAACGCCCGAGGCATGTGCTTCCTTACTGTCGCCACACAGGATCTTTCCTAAGTTTGTACGAGGAAGCAGCCCGGGAGCAGCTGGCGTTCTGCAGAGTTCCGCGAGAAGCATGACATGCTCACCTGTGGATCGCACCACTGCACTCCAGCCTGGGCGGCGGACTGAGCTGCACGCTGGACTGCGGCTCCTGGCCATACACTAGGCAGCCGTTTGCATGGATAGGGCATTCGGCCTTGGACTTGTCTTAGTTTAAATAGTGAGAATTTGTCCTGGGCTCCCCACAAAACTCTGAATCAGTGTCTGGCGCCAGGGCTATTGTGACAGCTCAGGAGCAGCTGCCCCGGGGAGCCCACGCTCACAGAACAGTCTTTGTCCCTTGGTGACTTGCCTATTTCAAGACCGCAGGCGGGAGTCCATGTCCATATTCTTTTCCCTCTGAGAGAACAAATGCAGCCAGCATTGGCAGGATTTGACAGGAGTTTATTATCTCCGAAATAGTTCCCTTGAACCTTCACCGTTTCCTCTCACTCCTGGTTCCCGTTCCTTTTAGGCTTAAAGTGCTCAGAAGTCAGTGAGATCAGGCTAAGAACTTCCCCCGATGGTGGCCTCCAGCTTGGTGTATTCTGCACAGAGGCAAAGATGCTTTACTGAGCCACTTAAACAGGAAGATCTGTTGATTCCAGCCAACAGTTGATCTCCTCCTATTGGGCTAGATCAGTTCCCATCCAATTTCAGCATGTCTGTGAATTTCCTGGGGCAAGTTGTGTGCTCTCTCCCTGGCCTTGAGAGGCTGCTGATGCATTTGTCCTGGGTTTACTAGCTGTGGAGTTAGCCAGATGGCCCACGTCTCCTGCAGGCTCCCAAGTATGGCCACCTGTCAGTAAGACAGCTCTTACCACCTATGCAGGACCGATCAGTAAGACAGCTCACCGCTCAGAATCTCAACCAAGAAGAGCTAGGTCTGATCCAGAGGGGTTTTACTAGGAAGAGAGGAAATAGAAAAATGAACAATCTGACAATTTGGGGGATTCTGCATTCACCCCCAAATCCTCACACGTGCATGAGCTGCCTCTCCCATCCCGCAGCAGCTGGTGAACACGCATCTGCAGAGGAGAGGCTTGGTCAACAGAGAGGACAGCAGCAAACATGCTGTCTAGGTGTCATCCGTTAGGTCTATCGGGCATTTCTGACAGCCACAGCTTCATTCTTTCCGGTCCCCAAACTCTGTTTAAGGAGTGTCTCATCCATCTGCACATCTTGGCCAAAGGAAGAGATGGAAGTGGGAGGGAGGTACACTAAAAAGAGGAAGAACATCCAGTGAGCTGGGGGGTGGGGGTGGACTGCCTGCACTGCCGCCCACTGTCCATCCCTGCCCCTTGAAGGGCGCAGGCGCAGCCCAGCAGGCATCCATGAATAGGCAGATGTGGGACGGACAGCCAGAGCTTGCAGAAGAGCTCCTGAGACTGGGTGCAGTGGCTCACACCTGTAATCCCAGCACTTTGGGAGCCCAAAGCGGGTGGATCACCTAAGGTCGGGAGTGCAAGACCAGCCTGGCCAACATGGTGAAACCCCGTCTCTACTAGAAATGTAAAAGTTAGCCAGGTGTGGTGGGGCTGAGGTAATCCTATCTACTTGGGAGGCTGAGGCAGGAGAATTGCTTGAACCTGGGAGGCGGAGGTTACAGTGAGCTGAGATCGCAGCACTGCACTCCAGCCTGGGCAACAGAGCGAGATCTGTCTAAAAAACAAAAAAAGAGCTTCCAAAAGACACATGGTTGAGTGGGGATATGCATCTTTCCCCACATCCCCACAATATGTGAAGATACAGGGAAAGATACACTATGTGGGTCAGAGCCCCGTGGGTTAGATGCATGTGAGGGGTCCACAATGTCTGAGTCAGAGGCTCGTGCGTTAAGTGCATGTGTGTTAGCTCCTTGGTAGCAAGCCCACAGAGAAGAATGGCATAAAGAAACTTTTAAGAATCATGCTGCATCCTACATCCAAAACGGAAAGGAAGTGGCAACTTCAAAGCCTCTGTGGGCTCTGAATTTCCACAGAAGCTTTGGTTTGTCTTGATGAACTTTGCTGGAGATAGTGAAACAAAGCCAGGTGGTCCCTAGACCTGCAGCATGGGAACTCTGTGATGGTGACAGCGTTCAGACCATCACTTGTCTCCGAAAAGTAACAGGAGCAAGGGTTGTGGCAGTGGGTGCACCTGGGGACTTCAGTGGGTAAAGATTTTAGGATTGGGCCCATTCTTAAGAGTGTCTCCCAAGGAACTGGGCTTGCCTTGGGGCTGGGGATAGAAGAGGGGTTAGACGAATGTCTCCCGGCTTAGCATCCCCAATAATGCAAACGGGTGCTTTCCCTCCCACAGGAAGCTGAGCTGGAACGCCTGGAGCGAGAGTTCGCCATTCAGTCCCAGATCACAGAGGCTGCCCGCCGCCTAGCCAGTGATCCCAACGTCAGCAAAAAACTGAAGAAACAAAGAAAAACTTCCTATCTGAATGCACTGAAGAAACTGCAGGAGATTGAAAATGCAATCAACGAGAATCGCATCAAGTCTGGGAAGAAACCCACCCAGAGGGCTTCACTGATTATAGACGGTCAGTGCCAACCCAGATGCCCCCACCCCACTCCCATGCCCAGGCCTCGGGAACCAGACACCAGGTTCCACGAGTGGTCCCTGTATGACCTGAGCAGCTACCTAACTCTGGTGCCTTCATTTGCCCATTCGTAAAATGAAGTGAGTAAGGCCTGATCCCATCCCAGAAGCCATGTGGACCCAGACACAGGTGAAGGGATTGTGTGAGTCACACTGTTGGTATCACTGTTGTCTTCCTCCCTGGGAGAACCTGCAGCCAGGAGCTAGCATTCTTCTCAGCCCTCACTGTGAACTGAGCTGAGTTGACTGGGCTAGCCCCGGCTCTGACACTCTCAGGGACCTGACCACCCCTACTCAAGTCTGGAAGGACGGTGGGGTTGGAGTACACAGCAGCAGTGACCCCTCTCTTTGAGCAGCCCCTGCCAACCTGCTGGCTCATATGCCTCCAGGGGCCTCCTATCCCAAGAGCTGAGGCTTAGCGACACTGGCCTCTCCGATTGTCTGGAACCCTGAGCTGAGGCTTGGGGATACTGGACCATCTGATGGTCTGGAATCCTGAGCTCAGGGGTTAGGAATTTGGGTGATTACCTTTGGTTAACTCTAGAAGCAAATCCCCCAAAATCTACCCACAAAGCATCAGGTCCCCTAAACTGTTAGAATCCTCCTTTTCGGCCGGGCGCGGTGGCTCAAGCCTGTAATCTCAGCACTTTGGGAGGCCGAGGCGGGTGGATCACGAGGTCAAGAGATCGAGACCATCCTGGTCAACATGGTGAAACCCCGTCTCTACTAAAAATACAAAAAATTAGCTGGGCATAGTGGTGCGTGCCTGTAATCCCAGCTACTCGGGAGGCTAAGGCAGGAGAATTGCCTGAACCCAGGAGGCGGAGGTTGCTGTGAGCCGAGATCGTGCCATTGCACTCCAGCCTGGGTAACAAGAGCGAAACTTCGTCTCAAAAAAAAAAAAAAAAAAAAGAATCCTCCTTTTCTAAGTCAGTGACTTCCTGAAACTATACATTAAGCATTCTTTCCTCCATGTGTACGCATGTTTAAAATACTTTTGCTCCAAAAAGACACAAAGTAGAACAGTGTTTGCATGGGGTTAGGGGACAGGCGAATGCGGAGTTGCTGCATGATGGATACAGAGTTTCAGTCTGGAAAAATGAAAACATTATTCAGGCAGATGATGGATGATGTGATGGTTGTACAACAGTGTGAATATGCTTCAAGCCACTGAACTGTACAGATACAAATAGTGAAGCTGGGATGTTGGCATGCGCCTATAGTCCCAGCTACTCAGGAGGCTGAGGCGGAAGGATCACTTGAGCCAGAGGTTTGAGACCGTAGCACTCTAAGATTCTGCCTGTGAGTAACCATTGCATTCCAGCCCAGGCAGTGTAGCAAGACTGCATCTCTTTAAAAAAAAATGTTAACATGGTAACTGTGAAGTTAATATATTTCACTACAATTACAAAGATAAGATAAATGTAGATAGATACAGATTTGCAACCTAAACTCAGTATCCTGGGGTAGCAGTGATTTGCTGGAGATCCCAATATGCCAAAGTCGGAGCTCCTGGTATTCTCACAGTCCATCATGCAATATGAATAAAGTGAATTCTTAGTTAAAAAGAGAATTTTTTAAAAATCTTTGGCACTAAGAAATTTGGAATAACCATCTTTCCCTGTCTTACCCTGCTGTCCTTGGCCAAGACCACACAACTTTCCCCCCGCCTCCTAGGGGAGCTCCCTCAGCCAGGTGAAGTGCAGTGGCGCGATCTCGGCTCACTGTAACCTCCGCCTCCTGGGTTCAAGCAACTCTCTTGCCTCAGCCTCCCGAGTAGCTGGGATTCTAGGCACGTGCCACCATGCCCGGCTGATTTTTTGTATTAGTAGAGATGGGGTTTGACTGTGTTAGCCAGGATGGTCTCAATCTCCTGACTTCATGATCTGCCCGCCTCGGCCTCCCAAAGTGCTGGGATTACAGGCATGAGCCGCCACATTCAGCCCCAGGTCTCTCTTTCTGACGCCCCATTTGAGACCTTCTGCCCTCCTCCAGGCACTTGGGGGTTGCCAACAGAAACATTTTCCTATAGAAACATCCAAGGGCCCACCTGAGCTAGAGGAGTAATTAAGGTGCTTGTTTGTTCCTTAGCATATTATTTTGAGAGAGAAAACACCAAACTTGGAAGCTGAAGACTTGAGACCTTGGTTCACGTTGCCAGAGAGCAAAACCGCCTTCCCTTCCTACCCCTCAGTTTCCCCAGCAGTGAAACAGGCAGGATTATTTTACTGTCTCCCTCTTGGGCGTGTTCTCTTGGTTCTTTGAGTGACATCTATAAAAATAAGCTTTGGAGAGAGGGAGCCTGTATTTAGCACGCTTGTTTTCTCTGCTGACAACCGACAAAGTTTATTGAGAAGCCATTTATTGCCATAGGAGCCAAGAGAAGTCCCTACCCTAGTTTCGAATTTGTAGAATAAAAGCAGTTCGCTTCCTTTGGTTTCGCTGGTACATGCCCTGGGTTTATGCAGGGACAATGATGTGGTTTAATCAGGCTAGGGCATTGTAGCATTCTGTGAAACCAGGGCACAACACACAAAGGCTAGGGCACATGGCAGCGTCGGGGTGCGGAGGGTGAGCTAATGACCCGCCACAGGGACTGTCGAAAGAAACACCCAACAGCATTTTTATTGTATCTCGTAGGTTCTTTCTGGTTAAAAAGAGAAAGGTCTGGGGTGGTGGTAGACATGCTGTTTTTACAGACAGGGCTTGGTTGGAGGAATGTGCTGAACTCAGAGGCTGTTGCTTTTTGTCTTCTCAGATGGAAACATTGCCAGTGAAGACAGCTCCCTCTCAGATGCCCTTGTTCTTGAGGATGGTAGGTTGATGCAGTTCCTCCCTACAAACTTGGAACCCCCAAGTGCCTTGGAGCGGGGCAGAAGGTCTCAAACGGGGCATCAGAAAGAGAAAGCCTGGCTGAGGGAGCTCCACTAGGAGGTGAAGGGAAGTGCTGAGTCAACAGAGATGAATTTAGTCTGGGGATTGCCCTGTGTAAAGGCCCGAGCCAGGTCAAAAGGCAGCTGGGCTCCCAGCAAGCTCTCAGTTCCCAGTATGCACCCGTTTGGTTGGGAGTGGGTGGGTGCTGCATTAACCTATGTGTATTGGAATTTTAGAATTTCCTGTGGCCCAGACGTAAGTTCATCAATGAGTGATGCTTTACTTTTTTAGAAGCCAAAACCATTTTTTTTTTTTTTGAGACAGGGTCTCACACTGTCACCCAGGCTGGCATGCAGTGGCATGATCTTGGCTCACTGCAACCTCTGCCTCCTGGGCTCAGGTGATTCTTCCACCTCAGCCTCCCGAGTAGCTGGGAATACAGCATGCCACCACACCCTGCTAATTTTTGTATTTTTTTGTAGAGTCGGGGTTTTGCCATGTTTGCTGATGGACTCAAGCGACCCACCCACCTCAGCCTCCCAAAGTGCTTAGGGGGATTACAGGCATGAGCCACCACAGTTGGCCTAAAACCACATTTTTAGACAGAGAATCTCAATACTAGGCATAGTTTCCTTTTGAGTATTCATGGTATCTAGAGGAAAAGAGTAGAAATTGATTTAGATCGCAAATCAAAGACTGAAACCCACTAGGAGGGTCTAAGGATCATGGAAAGAAATGGAACAAACCCTCTGTCGCTTCCCAGGACAATAGTGAAAGTAAGAGGGAAGATATCCTGGTAGACGCACAGTCAGGCTGGAAAACTGTCTTCTTATTTCCCATTAAACTCTTAAATCGAAGTTAGCAGGATATTTTCTTGGGAAATTCTTAGAAAAACAGAACTGATCCCTCCCCCAACCCCCACCACCACCCTACGCAGGGGAAGTAAGAATTCCAAACCCAGAACCATCTGAGACTACTCCTGTGGATGTTGAACTGTCACACTGGGAGGCAAGTACATTAATTACATGGAAATACATTAAGTGGCAGTTAATTTTTTTGCCCTGTAGGGAAACCTCAGGCAGACAGTGTTAAGTGGCTGTTCAGATGGAAAACAGAAAAGGTCCACACTAGTCATAGTCATCATGATAATTGCAATAATAATAATGATTACTCTTGATGTGGGGAAAGTCTGGTGGGTTATTTACCCAGTCACCTTGGCTGTGCTGTTAGAAATCACATTGGAATATTTTTGTCTGTTTCATTACATAGGCGGGATGGGGGGGCATGGGGCTACAAAGAAACAAGGGGCTTGAGCATCAGAGATCCCAGCCCTACGGTTGGCCTCTGAGTACCCCAGTCTCTCCTGGAAAGGGAACAAGAAAGACTGAGAGAGATTCCTCGGTAATAGAGTGGTGCCCTGAGCAACACGTAATGTCAGTAGGTAATTTCGAGGTATCATTCAAGACTCCAGCTTCTCTCTGTGTTCCAGATCCAGACCCTGGACTTCCTCACAGGTGTCACATCATTTTGCACCCCACGTTCCCATTGCAGGCTTTTTCTGGGGATCCTTCCTTTACTGATCTGAGGGCAAAGGAAGAGTGGGTGCAAAGTGGGTGAACACAGCTGGGGGACTGAGCATGAGGCTGTGAGAGGAATCACTGAAAATGGATTTAGGGGCAAGCGAAAGGTAGTTGGTTGTTTTTAAGGTCAGCTTCTGTGCACTGTTGCCCTCCAGCTCCCATCTCTGCCTTCCCCATGGAGTCTAAATCGTTCTCTCCTCTCTCTTCTCAATGCTGACCTCCAGTCTTTCTCCCTTCCTTTCTGGTTTTCGAACGCTCCCTGCTGAATACTTGTAAAACAGGATTTTTCACCCTGATGCATCTGTGCTTAAGACATTGCAGAGTTATCCTGTGGTTTTCAGAATCTCAGCTCCTTAGCTCGGAATTCCAGCCCCCCATCAGCCCGGCTCTTGATGCTCATGGTGCACACAGAAGGTGGCTGTGCTGACCGGAGCGCCTCCCTCAGTCTCCCGCTCCGCCTCCCCAGCCCCTGCCCGGCCGGATGTGCCTGTGAGCTGGTATCCTGCCCTCGGGGCCTCCACACTTTGGTTCAAGCCCTTTATTTCTCCCCCTCTTTGCCTGGCCACTGCTCAAGCCCCTTCAAGACCAGCCTCTCCCACAGGACCTCGTAGTCTCACTGAATTTGCTTTTTCTGAAAGTCCTCTAGCACACTGTCGCATGAGAGCATTCCTATCCTGGAGGCAGGGAATCATTTATTCATACTTAATCTTTGTAGCTCATCTTCTTAAGGCAGTTTCAAAATTACACAGGAACAGATTAAAAGAGAATATACACAGCTCTGGGGAAAAAAGCACAGAGTAGACGCCCCTGACCGCCACCCAGCAGGCATTTACAATGGACAGATAGACCTTCATTCATTTTTTTCGCTCCAACCAATGTTTATCAAGCGCCTACTGTGTGTTGGCTGTCATTTACAGCACTGAGGATCTAGCAGCAAATGAAACAGACAAAACTCTCCTGGAACTCAGACCCTCCCAAAGTGAATGCGATGCTTAGTGTCTGTTGAAAGACAACTTACTCTGGGGCAGTAACTACATTTTGCTGTTTGGTGTGAAGCAGTCATTTGTCAGTGCTGTTTAATGACATTCAGACTTCTCTCCCTTTGTGTCAAATCAAAAGTGACGCGTCTCATTTCCCATGCAGTCCCGCCTGCAGTGGGGGTTTGGTGTGCCTGGTTTGGTTTGACTCGTCTTGACTTGTCTTGGCGACTGGGGAGGAGTCCCAGGGTTTCTCGTTACAGGCGTGAAGGAAAGGTGTGGGTTTGGCTGTGTGGCTCCAAGGTGGGGGTGGGGGGCTGGAGCGGGGTTGGGGGGATGGGGCTCTGCTGCAGCCTGTGGAAAGGATGACCGGGGCTCAGTTCTTCTCTTCCTGTCTTTGTACAGAAGACTCTCAGGTTACCAGCACAATATCCCCCCTACATTCTCCTCACAAGGGACTCCCTCCTCGGCCACCCTCGCACAACAGGCCCCCTCCTCCCCAGTCCCTGGACGGACTCCGGCAGATGCACTGTCACCGCAATGACTATGACAAGTCCCCCATCAAGCCCAAGATGTGGAGTGAGTCCTCTTTAGATGAGCCCTATGAGAAGGTCAAGAAACGCTCCTCTCACAGCCATTCCAGGTGAGCTGGGTCGTGAATGAGGCCAGAGGAGGCCTCTGTCCATGCTTTGGAAGAATCAAAGGGCTGTCCCATGTAGCATCCACAATGACAAAATCCCGGTCAACCTAGTTCCTCCCTCTGGGGTTTGCCTTTGACGGGGCTGTGCTCACAGCGCCCTCTGCTGCCGACCCTGTTGAGGTACAGGTTTGTGATTTAAAGGGAAATCTGGGGTTTGGCCCACAATCAACGTGATGGCAGATGGCTTGAATGTTGTTAAATTCCAGAGGAATTAATTAGGAGATCTCAGGCAGCGCTATTCCGAAATGGCAAGTCGAAGTCCACTCGTAGCAACTGCAGAGTGGATTCAGAACTCCACCCCCTCACCCAGCAGAATTCTCCAGCCAGGCAGCTATAATCCAAGCTGTGTATTATCAGCTCATTACCAGGCTGACCTTGGAGGGAGGGTTTTTTTTTTGGAAGGCATTTGGGGTCTGCTGCTCTGCTCTTCTCATTTCCTTTAGTCACCCTACCGAGCTCCAAGGGGGTGCCACAACAGGTCAATATTTGTTTCTTGGAAAACAAAAATTGTAAGGGCAGGACAGTCACACTGCCTGATAAAGAGAAGGCTGACCAGGGTCTTTGTCTCATATCTCCTAAGGATTGGGGGGTTCAGGGACCAGGATGCCTACCCAATGCTGGGGAAAGGACTGAGAACCACAGTAGAGGTCTGACCGAGCGAGGAGGGAGTCATGGGCGAGCTTCCCCACACTGGGATCAATGTCCTGAACTAGCCAGCACCCATCCCCCGCCCCCCCCCAAAGGTGCTGTCTGTCTGGCAGTGACCACATGGCCTCCTTGGCTTTGCAGCAGCCACAAGCGCTTCCCTAGCACAGGAAGCTGTGCAGAAGCAGGTGGAGGAAGCAACTCCTTGCAGAACAGCCCCATCCGTGGCCTCCCACACTGGAACTCACAGTCCAGCATGCCGTCCACGCCAGACCTGCGGGTCAGGAGTCCCCACTACGTCCATTCCACGAGGTGAGTCCGCCTGGCCTTCGGGCCACCTCCCTGCTCAAACCAGACCTTCCTTTTTAAAATTGGGCATTGCCAGCCCCCAGCTGGCCCAAATAATGGAAGAGCTGCAGTCAAACCTGAACCCAGGAGGATAAATGAAGCAGAATAAAAACCAGGCTGGCAGTGGTCAATGCCATTAGCCAAGAGACCCATGCAGAGGGCACTTGGAGTCAGCCAGGCTCCTGGAGACAGGGAGCATGGAAGGTTTCCTAATCAAAGCAGAGGCAGCAGAGGCTAGCTGGGTTAGCATGGGAAGAGCTGGGATGGGGTGATCGCTAATCAGTAGTCCTCTTTATATCTTTCTACGGAGGCCTACGTTTATACTGGACTTCCTTTAGTGCCTCAAAGTGTAAATTCATAAAGAGCAAAAGAGCCAGGCAAAAATGAGGCTTCAGTGAATCACAACTTCTTTTTCTAAAAAGAAGCAAACCAGATCACCGCTGGCCATGGGATGGGGGCTTTCAGCGCCCTTCTGAGTGGCAGTCGGAAATGGGGCTTACCTCTTCCCGTGCTTGACCAGTGGGGCCACTGAATTTCACATGCAGTCCCAGCATCGGGCAACGTCATCTGCTGTGCGATGCTGTCTCGCACTTCCCTGAGCCCTGAGTGGACTCAAACGAGCAGAATGAATTATAGATAAAGTAATGGTGTGGTGAGTATCTGCATCATTCATTTTTTAATTATCTCATTTGCCACCAACCTTCTATTTCCCAGTTTCCACAGGAAAAGAGAGTCTATTTAAATGGATTTTGTGACAGGGGCTCTGTAGGACTGTTCTTTCATCTGATCTGTAAATATGGACATTTCATCTGGTTTGTGTTTTGCTTTTTTTTTTTTTTTTTTTTTAATAGAAACTCCCAGGCTGGAGTGCAGTGGTTTGATCAAAGCTTACTGCAGCCTCCAGCGAGCCTCCCTTCTCAGCCTCCTGACTAGCTGGAACCACTGGTGTATAATACTATACCCAGCTAATTTTCCAAGTTTTTTTTTTTTTTTTTTTTTTTTTTAAAGAGATGAGATCTCACTATGTTGCACAGGGTGGTCTCAAATTCCCAGGCTCAAGCAATTCTTCAGCCTCCTGAAGCCCTGGGATCGCAGGCCTGAGCCACCGCGCCCAGCCCTGTCTGGTTTAACAGGATACTGGAGTCATGATTCTGTGGTTCTCTTTGTGTCTATAGAATCATTTCCACTTAAAAAAAAAAAAAAAAAAAAAAAAAAAAAAGCCTCAGAACTGGAAATCCTTCTGTGAGTCCTAGCTTTGGTCCCATTTCCCACTGGGAATCAAGGTGGAGACCCTGGGTTCGCCTCCCACAAAGGCCAGTTCCATTCACCTGAGTTCCCGGATCCCCGGGACAACCCTGCTGAGGGAGACTTTGGCTTGCTGAGCCCGCGTGGAGGCCCCCATTGCCCTCCTCGGGACCCCCTCCTCCCCAGGCCCACCCCCCACTTCCCTCCCCCAGACCAGCCCGGGCCGTCTCCCGACAGGTCGGTGGACATCAGCCCCACGCGACTGCACAGCCTCGCATTGCACTTTAGGCACCGGAGCTCCAGCCTGGAGTCCCAGGGCAAGCTCCTGGGCTCGGAGAACGACACCGGGAGCCCCGACTTCTACACCCCGCGGACTCGTAGCAGCAATGGCTCGGACCCCATGGACGACTGCTCGTCATGCACCAGCCACTCGAGCTCGGAGCACTACTACCCAGCGCAGATGAACGCCAACTACTCCACGCTGGCCGAGGACTCGCCGTCCAAGGCGCGCCAGAGGCAGCGGCAGCGACAGCGGGCGGCGGGCGCGCTGGGCTCAGCCAGCTCGGGCAGCATGCCCAACCTGGCTGCGCGCGGGGGCGCAGGGGGCGCAGGGGGCGCGGGGGGCGGCGTGTATCTGCACAGCCAGAGCCAGCCCAGCTCGCAGTACCGCATCAAGGAGTACCCGCTGTACATCGAGGGCGGCGCCACGCCCGTGGTGGTACGCAGCCTGGAGAGCGACCAGGAGGGCCACTACAGCGTCAAGGCCCAGTTCAAGACCTCCAACTCCTACACGGCGGGCGGCCTGTTCAAGGAGAGCTGGCGCGGCGGCGGCAGCGGCGGTGACGAGGGCGACGCGGGCCGCCTGACGCCATCGCGATCGCAGATCCTGCGGACTCCGTCGCTGGGCCGCGAGGGCTCCCACGACAAGGGCGCGGGCCGCGCCGCGGTGTCGGACGAGCTGCGCCAGTGGTACCAGCGTTCCACCGCCTCACACAAGGAGCACAGTCGCCTGTCGCACACCAGCTCCACCTCCTCGGACAGCGGCTCGCAGTACAGCACCTCCTCCCAGAGCACCTTCGTGGCGCACAGCAGGGTCACCAGGATGCCCCAGATGTGCAAGGCCACATCAGGTGAGAGGGGAAGGCCGGGCGTGCCCGGAAAGGTCTGGGTGCGAACTGCTCCTGGTGCCCAGGGCTACTGCCGGGAGGTCCCCTTACAGCTGGGTGCGGTGAGGAACCAGTCATTCACCCCGGGAACCCTGCTGTCAGCTGCGGGAGACTTCAGGCCTGTGCTGACTCCCCTCCCTAATTGCACCCTAACCATGCACCTGACCCTCCAGAGGGCACTAGGCCAGCGCTCCCACTTCAGCTTCCTTAGTCAAGGTCTAAACCATCTCGTCCATCCAAGAAAGTTAAGTAATGTCTCCGGTGCCGCTTTACCCTAGTGAGGAGAGGATCCCAGTAAGTGGGAGCCCACAGCTGTAGCTTGCAAAGGAAGCTGGGTTGGGGATGTGCTTGGGTCAATCCTAGAGATTGGGCCAGTGTCTCCCCAGGTAGGGGCAGACTGGCTTGATAAACAGAGGGCCGGAGCCGTGCATCTGACAGAATTCCTCACTGCTCCTGGCTTCCCATTTCAATGATGATGTTATGGTGTAGGCACACACTAATTTTAGTTAAGTGTCTTCAAAATCCTGGATATTATGCTTGAAAATTTCCATAATCTAAGGTTAAGGTTTACCTTATATTCTTGTACTCAACAGCATTGTGCAGTATTGCATCAAGTAAAAAAAAAAAAAATAGAAGAAACCAACCATTCCCTTATGAAGTTACATTTAATAACAGGGACAGTGATGACCAACACTGAGCAGTTACCTCGTGCTCTAGTCTCAGCACTCGTAGAAAGGGAGGAGGAGAACAGAAATGGTTAACGCTAAGAATAAACTGAGAGTCAGAAGCCAGTGGGAGGAGCTCTGAGTCAGGAATTTGACAAAGATCTGGGGAAACAGTGACCTGAAAGGTAATTGGGGGTTCATCTTGGGGGAACTGTAGGACATTCTTGGTACCTGGAGATAGCAGAGAAAGAGGCAGAAGCTGACTGCCCAAGTGAGCCAGGCTCCTGCCTTCTGTCCCCATATCCCTGTTGTTGGCCAAATGACAAGCTCCAGAGATCAGGCAGTCGTGGGAGTTCCATGGACTTCAAGGTCCTGGAACCTTCTTTCTATTCCTCCTTCATCTGTAAAACAGCACAGTGAAATTTGCCATTGACTCCCCAGGAACATGTTGAGCACGATCATCTGTGACCCTGTTAGATAAAGAAGCACCAAACTGGAGTGTTTACGTTCTATCAGAATTGCAGCACTTGTCCGGTAGATTTGCTTTATGTAAAGAGATTAGGTAGATCTTTTGGAACATACTTAGACTAAAATTTTTAAGAAGCTCTATCTGAAGTTTACTGATGGAAAAGATTCCATTCCCAAGAAAGCAAAGGATGCATTTAAGTAGGATTGACTTCCTGCGAAATCTGCCTGCATCAGTAAATGCCTAGTAGTCAGATTTGGATGAGCTGTTAAAAGCCCTGCTTTTTTCCAAACGCACTACAGTAGCAATGATAAGCGTGAAACGGCAGAGAGCTGGCTCTAAGCAGCTTTCTGGGTGCACTTTCTTCACAATGGAGAGAAACAGTTCCGCCACAGGGTCGCAGTGAAAATGCCCTGAGGCCAGAGAAACAGGCTCTTCCTGTATGAGCCCTGCTCAGGTCTTGTCTCAAAGGACATTGGGACATCAGCTTCTTTGCTGCTGCGGAAGCTGTCCCCATCCCTATGGCCACTCCCTGGTGGCGAAGTGGGGACCTAGGATCCCAGGTCAGCTTGGCTCAGAAGGAAGGTGCATGGTGGTGGGGAGAAAATGCAATTGGTGGGATGCAGAGGTTGCTGGAGGGCGGGGCCATGCAGAGATGGCTCCCCACTGTGACCTCGCCATAGGGAGGGTGAGACCCTGCCATGGGGTCCTTTCCAGCATTCCTGGACAGGGTGACCCCTGGCCACTGGGTTGGTGTCGGCCAGCCAGTCACAAGCCCCTTCGCCCGTGTCTGACCCCTGTCTTCTCTTTGCCTTTGTTGCACCACCTGCATCCAGCTGCCTTACCTCAAAGCCAGAGAAGCTCAACACCCTCAAGTGAAATTGGAGCCACGCCCCCAAGTAGCCCCCACCACATCCTAACCTGGCAGACTGGGTGAGTTCTCCTTCCAGATCTTTGGCCTGGTTCTTATTCCATGTTCTTCACTGTGTCAGCTCCAAAGAGTGGTCACAGACGTTCAGATCCTAGTGACATAAGGGTAAGACAGTAAACTGACAATGAGGGTTCATCATTGGGAGGTGTCTTCCTTTTAAGAGAAGCCCCATGATCTGCTGTCACCTCTGCCTACTCCTTTCCCTGTCTGTGTTCTCTTAAAGTAGGTGGTGGTCCTTGGGATGCGGGGAGATGGAAGCAGGAAGGGGGACTGTGCTGCTCGGGTCACGTTTCTAGATAGCATTTGATTTCGGTTCAGATTATACCCAGGCCAACTCAAAATGCCCGGCAAGAATGTCAGGAGGAGAGAGCGAGCTGATTAACTGAGAGGCAGGTGACATCTGCCGTCTTAGGATGTCTCAGGGTGCAAGAAGAAGGGCTCTGTCCTGGCCAAGCACTTGTTCTTTATCAGCACACAGAGGAGATCAGGTGCCCTGAAGCCTTTCAGAACGGGCTCCACTGCCTGCCTTTCAGGTTCTCATACTTGGAGTCTCACTCTGTTGCCCAGGCTGGAGTGCAGTGGTACAATCTTGGCTCACTGCAACCTCCGCAGTTCAAGTGATTCTCCTGCCTCAGCCTCCCGCATAGCTGGGATTACAAGGGTGCACCACCGTGCCTGGCTAACTTTTAGTAGAGAAGGGGTTTCACCATGTTGGCAAGGATGGTCTCGAATTCCTTACCTCAGGTGATCTGCCCACCTTGGATTCCCAAATTGCTGGGATTACAGGTTCCTGGCCGACATTTTTGTTCCTACAAGTTTATCTGTAGCAATTTTACACCAGGTGTTCTGGCACATTCATTTTTGGCAAGAAAGAAAGAGTCCTAACAAACATTTATTGAGTGCTTGCTATGTACTCAAAGGCTGGGAGCAGCTTCTAACACATACGAGCTTATATAATCCTCACCGCACCCTAGCAAGGGAAATACCCAGATGTTTTAGTTTCATAGCTAAGACTCAGGGAAAATAAGTGCCTGGCCTACCATCAGACAGCTGGAGGGAGCTGGAATTCTAGCCCTGCCCTCTGTGACCCCAAACCCTGTCTTTATCCACTACACCAGTGGTTCTTAAGTGTGGTCCCAAAGCAGCAGCACGAGTGAGTCTCACCTGGGATCTTGTCAGAAATGCCAATTCTCGGGCTCTCCTATACCTAAAAATCCAAAATTCTGGGAGTGGAGCCCAGCAGTCTACCGTCTAATAAGCCCTCCAGGTAATGCTGCCACAGGCTCAAGTTTGACAGTCACTGGACGATCCCATGCTGCCTCTGATTTTTTTTCAAATAAGGGAAACGGGAGCCCCCAGCTTGGTGTTCCCGTGCCCACTCCTACTTCTCCATCTGTCTGTTGGGTACTGGCTGCCCCTCTGTCCTTACTACAGATCATTAACATTCACTCAGATACCACCCACACCCCAGCTCTCACCTGTGTGGCCAGGCCACCGCTATAAGGTTTAGGGTCTAAAAGTCTCACGAAGATTAATTCATTAAAGGAGGACACATCTTTCGTATATGTGATACATACTTCCACTGACTAAACCACCTCCTTTAAATAAGAAACTTCAGATCGCAAGATCCCTCTCTAGAGCTTCCAAGTTTTCTCAATCATGCCCACTGTCACCAGATCCAAATATATGATTGTATTATTTCACTGGCAACAAGCTCTGAAATGTACAAGCACTCCTCAGGGTCCTGTGCACTTAAGATAGTCTTGAAACTTGCCTGTTTCACCATCTACAACTAGTGAGGACTCAAGACAAATTTGAAACAAAAGAGCTATTTTGGTTCTTGACATAAACTGTAAACTGTTTGCTATGATGTGATAAGAAATGAGGCCATGGGTAAAAGGTACCAAAGAGGGCCCGGCCCTCCTACCAAACTAGGTCTCGACTCAGTTATGGGGACTGAAAGTTCTGCATGGCTTGTCACTAACTCGCGTGTCTAATCAGGGGGCCTTTCCGATGTATTAATAAGCTACTAATCGTGTCTGTGTCAGTTCCTCTCTGTAACATGACCTCTCTTCTCTTCCTCCTTCTGCTTTCCTTTGTTCAGAGAAGCAACAGAAAACTCACCCATTCTGGATGGGTCTGAGTCTCCACCTCACCAAAGTACTGATGAATAGAGGTACCGTAAGGGGAATTTGCTTCCTCCTGCCCATGAGTCTGTGTTCCCACAGGTGCTGCCTATGTGTTGCTTTTCTCCATCTCATGATTTCCATAAGGACGCATCTGAATGCTGTATTTATGCCATATTTCTAGATATATGGGGATTTCTATGTTTAGATGGAGGTTCTTGCATCATATGTTAGCTATTGTCAACACTACTTGCCAGAAAAGACCCCCAAAGTACGTTGTTTTGAGACAGAGTCTTGTTCTATCTCCCAGGCTGGAGTGCAGTGGCTCGATCTTGGCTTACTGCAACCTCTGCCTCCCAGGTTCAAGTGATTCTCCTGCTTCCCTAGTACCTACAGGTGCACACCCAGCTAACTTTTGTATTTTTAGTAGAGACAAGGTTTTGCCGTGTTGGCCAGGCTAGTCTCAAACTCCTATCCTTAAGTGATCTGCACGCCTGGCCCCAAAGTATGTTTTAGGGTCACCATGTTCTACCTACATTCTTCAATCCAAAGCCAGCATTTTGATCTCTACCACCATCACCTGGGAGCTCATTAGAAAGCTCGATCCTGGGCACCACCCTGGCCTACTGAACCTAATGTGCATTTAACAAGATTCCTGAGTAAATCAATGCACGTTGAAATTTGCAAAGCACAGGGGCAGAAAACAGTACCATCTGGTCTGGTTCCTAGCCCCAGGGCCCTTATTACAGTCTGACTGGGACACTAGGCATTTTGAAATCCAATTGCCTATCAGGAGATATCTGAGGGGGCTGAGAAACTGCCACACTTATGTATTAAGTGCGCTAAGACTTAGACACAAAGGCCTCTGGCGGGAGGAGGAGGGAGGCTTAGACAGGTAGAGATGGGGAGCGATCACTCCAAGTGCAGAGACGAGGGTGAAGGGTGGTGAACAGTAGAGAGTCTCATTTTGCTGTAGAAAAAAAAAATAGCTTTTGAAAAGTAGGTTAGGACAGTATGAACAAGTTAGGAGAGAGATAGGAATAAGGTGGACTTCCAACCCCATCAACCACATGCCAGAAAAAAAGAGAGGATGTCATGAGACACATTTCTGAAGTAGGGAGAATGGCCTTTTGCTCCCCCGGGATGGGGGAGCTGATCATCTGCTAAAGGTGATGGAGGTAGGGATGATAGCCAGAACTTGAGAATTAACCAGGTTTGAAAGAGCTGCTGTGGGAATGTAGGCAAGTCTGCTTGAAATCCCTCCACACATAGAGTGCATGCTCATGCAGACATGTGCACGTGCATGGACACAGACTGAGCGGCAGCCCCTTCCCAGACCAGGTAAGACAGACAGACGAGTCTACAGGGCCTCGTCGCCCATCCACTGGCCCTGTGACCAACTGTGGGACTATCCAACAACGCAAGTATGTGTTACCAGTTGGTTTTGTAAGTTAAACCGTGTTTCTCAACTATGACTAAGCTATGAAGAGAAAGGACTGCTCAAATATACATTTACAGTAATAATTCAGTTTGCAATTCCTCCCTCCTAGCAGCCTTACCTCCCTATGCCAAGCAGTTATAAGTCACCAACTCCAGTGAGATGTGGGTGAATTTGCCATCTGTCTGATGTCAGAGGGCCCTTGCTTAGCGAGTACCCTTTGCAGGCCACACGTCTCTGAGCATAGCCCTGGGAAAGGGCATTCTTGCAGTGAAAAGTCCCCATAGGCACAGGCTATCTCAGATTCTGAAGTCACCACTTCTGTGACCCCGACTGCCCAGGTCGAAGCCAGTCTTGTGGGTCATAGTTGAGAGAGCATGCGTACATCTTCATCCTGCCCCGACTCACATTCCAGTGAATGACTGACTTCGGTTTACTTGGGCAACTATTTAGTGGCCCCATTTGTGTTATTCGTGAATAAATGCTTCCTAAATGGTCTCTTGTTAATTTTGTTTTCATAGCACACGGCATTCCTTAACTATTACCGTAAAATTGAATTTGTACTGAGAGACAGAGGCTTAGCTCAGCAGCCACAAGGCTTCTTCCCCAAACCTAAGAGACCAACACATGAAGCAACATTGATAGCTTTAAGAATACCTTGGCTGGGCGTGGTGGCTCGCGTCTGTAATCCCAACTGCATGGGAGGCTGAGGCAGGAGAATCGCTTAAACCTGGGAGGCGGAGGTTGCAGTAAGCCGAGATCTCACCACTGCACTCCAGTGTGGGTGACAAAGAACAAAACTCCGACTGAAAAACAAACCAAAAAAACCTTACATACTTCAATATCAATGGGAAGCACTAAGAAAACATTGCAAGTTTGGGAAAAAAATCATCATCTCCCGCTTCATTTTTGGTTTTTTCTTTTACTCCTTTAGTAAATAAATTTTAATTTGGAAAAAAAAATGTACACGTCAGACTTATGTAGTCACAGCCTTTTCCGGCCTGTTGCAAGTTCCCCCCTTCTCAGAGGCAGGAGCAGGCCAGTGGTTTCCTACACTGTGGCCCCTCTGGGAGCTGCCTGCGAACCAAACCACCATTCCAGCATCTCTCATCCCACCCCCTCATCCAGATCTCAATGCTTTCTCGTATGTGGATTCTGTGACCCAGAAGCCTCCATGATGAAATGCAGGAGAGCAGCATGGGCCAGCCAAGAGCTAGGCTCTTCATGTACCGAATCAGCCACCACAAGAACCCTTACCCTCATCTGCCTTATCCAAACGTCACTGCTTTGAACTCAGTGGTCTTTCCTTGAGCCTTTTTGATCAATACATAGTGGACTTTTAGTCCCTCTGAGGCAGATTATATTGTCACAAAAGTACTTGGTATTTGTGATACTCAACTTTTTCTTTAGGATCCAACATACAAGAGAGTCAACTATATTTTATAACATTAGCTTAAGAGTATGTTTCAAAGTATGCCCTGTGGGTGTTAATAGGTGATACCGTTCCAGAAGTTCTGGGTCAAACAGCGTAATAATGCAGGACTTCTCAGAACCTTTAATATATGTCTCATATACATTTCAGGCCTCTGAAAGGCAGAGTCCTCAAACTTACTCATGGAACCTTTTTTTCCCCTCAGAGCATCTCACAGGACTACTTTGAGAAACAGTGGCTAAAGTGGTTCCTTAGACCTCACGAAGTCTCTTAGGGAATTCTTGTCCCAAACAGACCCAGATCATGCTTGTGTTAGAAACAAGAATTACATCGACAGTTTAAGAAACTACTTAAATGTGCCAGTATTTGTTAGCTTCATGTGAAAACAAACTCAATTCAACAAGCATAAGCCAACAAGAGCACATACCGGCTGATGTCACTGGAGCCCAGGCTGACTGGGTCTCGTTCCATCTCTAGTTCTGCTTCTTCCACCTGTTAACTTCGTTCTTAGAAGGAAATGACATCCTTGTGGTTTCAAAGCTGCTCAGGCATGTGGCCATCTTTGAACCAGGAACTGTGATCGGGGGACTCTCATTGACCCAGCCCAGTTGGCTTCCTTGTCCCCTGGCCCCCGGGGGAGCGAGGATGGTACCGTAGTGGAGAGCACCACCAAGATCACATGGAGTTAGGGAGGGACTGTCCCCCTGGAGGGCCCAGCCACCTCTCCCCTTCGAAGTTTTTCAGTTATTCAGGCACAACTGCAGAAGTAGCCGAGTCAGGGTGGACAGTTTGCAGGACAGGTGTCCCAGGATCACCCACTTACCAGCTGCATGTAGTAATACCCATGGCCAGTGTCATCATCGAAGGCCTTTTGTTACTTTGCTTGTGAAGCTGGTTTATTTCTGGTGCTCCAAGCACAGGACTCTCATTAAAATCCACCAGCATGTGCACAGATGCCTTGGCATTTTCAGCTTTCATGCTTTTTTTTTTTTTTTAAAGGCCAGATGAGAAACATTTACAACATCCAGTTGTTCCTGGAGAAGTTAGCAAATGAAACAGAAAATGGGATGACTGATGATTCTCAATCATGAAGCTGTGTTTCGTATTGAAATGCTCCTAAAACTCACCCACCGTGAACTACATTGGGTTCACGTAGGGTCACTTCCTGTCACCCATCCCTGACCACTCCCCTAGCACTACCCACGGAGAGATCAGTTGCCAGAGAGGAATTCAAAGGGCTCATTCAGGATCACTGGAGAGAGACTTTTTCCTAATCATGATCCCTAGTAATGACTATTGGCATCCACGTATCTATGATCGCTTCTTAAGATTTACCTCTACCCAACCTAGATGGTGATACCTACCTAAAAATGTTTTAAAAGCCTTTTATTTTCTTCTTCAGACTTTTCTACATATTTCAAGTGAACAGTTTTATAATCACAAAACAATACATATTACTTTGAATAAAGCAAAGTCAGCATTGACTTCTTTAAAACTTTTAAAACACAATTCAAAATACCACCACTATATAATCCCTATAGTGAAACTTCACATGTCAAATGGTCTTCTGGGACAGAATATAAATTTCCTAGTGACATCTGTCTAGCCCTGGGGTCTCACAGAGCTGTGGTGTGGAAAAAGCCACCTGAGGAGAACAGCGCAGGGGTTCTGGCTTTGGCTGCATCTGAGAGTCACCTGGTGGGGAGCTTTGACAGCCCCAGTGCTCAGACACGCCCCAGACCGTAATAGGCCTGCGTCTCCCCGAGGAGGGACCCAGGCAGGTGTTTTTCTGAGGTTCCAGGGTGCTCCCCGGATGCAGCCACACTCGTGAACCACTGCACTGAGTGTTACTTTCCGTCTTCCTCCTTCACAGGAGGCCCCTTTGTGTGGATTCGGAGGGTCTTTGGGGGCCCTCTGTACACACCGCGCTGTGGAGGGTCTCGGGCCTCGCTGCTCTGTATAGGAATGACACGGGATGAGCACAGAGCCCCGTCAAGGCGAACGCGTCCTCAGTGCCGGCCTGGCCGAGCCCGTCCTCCGCCACTAACTGTCCTCTCTTGGGCCTCCTGCAGGAGCTACAGTGATAGCTGTTTCCTGGATTCCTCCCTCTATCCAGAACTAGCTGACGTCCAGTGGTACGGGCAGGAAAAAGCCAAGCCCGGAACCCTCGTGTGAGCCAGCCCGGCCTAATCTGACCGCCTCGACGCCATTCTGAGATCACCTCACTGCCTCTCATTTGCCTTACCCAGACGCACGTCACCCTGCACCAGCTTCGGCCCTCAGCACTTTTTTTCTCCTGTCTCCACATTCCCTCCCCTTTGAAAACTTGACTGAGGAGACATTCTGGAAGGTTCCGGTCCCACTGTGTGTCCCCTGGCTCTCTTGCCCATAGAGAGCCAGACACCAATCCTCAATGGCACCTTGGTGGCTTCCCCCTGCCATGACAGCCCCTAAGCCAGGAACCGTCAAGGGGGCCGGCTAGCATCCAATTCCTGCAGACAAGTAGTGCTGGGAGAGAACCGGAAAGGGGACTTGAGTTACAGGGTGACCCAGAAAGACGACTCAGCTGTGTCCAGCCTGCCACCCACAGGCCAACCAAGCACTTCACCAAGAGGAGGCCTTGTGGCATATTCAGTTTACACCTGAAAGACTCCTTGATGAGACAGCTTGTGGGGAGCGGCTGAGGGGGAGGGAGGATAAGCAAGCAAGCTCTCGACACCAGAGACGCATCGGAGGACCACGATCAGTTCTGTGCTGCCAAAGATTAACAAAAACACAAAAAAATTAAGAGGGGCCAAGAGGAAGACATTCTTTCTGCAAGGAAATTGCTTTTAAATTCTGAACTGCTACTACACACAAGTGAAGGTCAGCCCTGTGTACACTGGTGTCCTCTCTCCAGCCTGCTCCCTTCATAGTCCACTTCTCTCTCCGTAGAAAGCCTGAGAAACTAACCCAATGCAACGGTGAAGACGAGGGAGTCTGGGCTGGCATTGCTGATTCACAGTCGCCATCCATCTGGACACGAAGAGAGACCCGCGGGAGTCGTGGAGGATACCCTTAGCCCCAGTCCAAGCAGGGGGTTCAGCCAAGCCCAAGACTCAAAGCTGCTTTCCTTTCAGGATCTGTAGTAAACGTAAGGTGACAATGGCCAAAAGTGGTTCTCTCCCATTAAAACAACCAGTAAAAGCATATCCTGTTTTTTTGCACAAGGTGTTTCATTTTCTTTTTTTATGGGAAACCAAGGGAAAAGCACATTGCGACCCATTCAGTGTTTAACTGTCGTGGCTCATATTCTGTTTGTTAGCACTTGTGTGACAAAAAAGCTCAGATCCGACTTCTCCTGTGTGTCACTTACTCCAAGAACCCAACGATGCCCGTAGGTAGAAAGATTTGACTCACGTGTCTACTAGCCAACAGGCAGAGCAGGGGTGAAAAAAACAAGAGCAGCTCCCAAAGGGCCCATGTGTCTACATCATCAGTTACCGTCACGCACCACAGTTGTGTGCAGACGCCAAAAGAGGAGGAAAGAGGAAGAAAAGTTAACGTGTGGGAGCTGCACGTTTACATGTGTTTTGAGCTATGCTTCAAACACAACTGGAAAGCCATCAATCTTCAAAGGCCTCAAAAATGCTTTTATAATAACAAGTGCACAACCTTAGTTGGGTTATTTAAGATGGCACAAAAAGGTGGTATGCTGTGCTTTTGGCGCAAGTGGTGGGGGGTGGGGGGGTGGTCATTTTTCTCTAATGACTTCCTATTGAAAAGGCATTTGACTGCCAGGGACAGGAGCCGGAGGGGGTAGTTTTGTGGGAAAGCAGAACTGAAGTTAGCTTTAACATCAAAGGAACAGAAAAATCTTTGTTTTTCATGTATGTGGAATCCAAGAATAACCATAGGCTCTACCAGACCAGGAGGGTAAGGATAGACATTAAGACAGAATAAATACTCACGGTGTTCCTCTGCTGCAGTCTGGAGACCACCGAGAGTTGGGCTGGGGCACTCACACCTGGCTGGGGCCTGCCCAGGACAAGGCCGGCCGTGGCCGCCTCCACGTCTCTGTAGATGATTCAGGGCCTGCTTTTCCCAGCTCTATGCATGGCTGGACTGGTGAGTGCAGCTTGCAGAAGGGATCAGTATTCCCAGGACACTTTAGGTGTCCACCTGCAGGATAAACAGAAACCGGTTATGATATTATTAAATGATTCTAGGGATTCACTGGGGGATATTTTTGCTGCTTTTATTTTCATGGTCAGAGCTACAAAGAGCAGGGATTTTTCTCCCTTTCGCATTCAGAAACATTACACATTGGGCCGTTTTTCTTTCTCTCAAAGATGATACATGAATAATCAGACTGAACTGTGTGCAAGAGGAAAAGTCAAAAGGGTAACAGAAAGTGATGAGGTTACATGTTACAGGTTCCACACCATGCCCAGTAGCATGAAATCTAGTCTGGAGAAAACCGCATCAAGAGTCTAACCCAGTTGAGAAGCAAGGGATGAGACGCAAAAAGTCTACAAACTTGGGTTATGTTTTCAATTTGGGGGACAGAGAAAAACGGGGTGGAGCAGGAATTACAGTTCTAGCAAACGTCATGATAGTCTGGTAGTCACGACAGAGATTAAGTCAAACAGGTTTTACTGTTTCGCTGAGTTCAGTTAATACAAAATGTACATAAAGTGTTAGTCCTTTGAGGCTGACATGATTAATGATCAGTGTGGTGGGAAATGATGTAGTTATTGTACACACACACTTGCAAACTCTTTATATATCCCTATTTCTTTAAAACAAAAGGTGAAATGCAAAGTCCCTGGTCTGATATAAAGCCCCTACTGGATTCTTCGGATGCGTATAAGAAATTGCCTATTTCAGCCAGAAGACTGGTGCAAACACATACATCAGACTATGTTGTGAGCCAGGTTGATTTTTTATTTTATTATATGCAGGTGAGTGTTGAATCTGTTAAAATTCCAATTTGTTTTCATTCAGTATTTAGTTCTAAATATAGCAAACCCCATCCAGGTGCTATCAGACGACCAGTTACTGCTTAGTTAACTAGGTGTAAAGTTTTACATATACATTCATGTCAATAGTTTATTACGAGTTGTGTAAAATGGACTCTAGTTTAATAACGGGGGGGAAAGAGATTAGGTTGCTCCTGAAACTGACTGTAGAGCATGTAAAATGATTTTACTGGATTCTGTTCAACTGTAATCAATGAAAAAGATGTACGTTGTAGACAAAGTTGCAGAATTAAAAAAGAAATCTGCTTTTAATTTATTCTTTTTGTATTAAGAATTTGTATAGTACCTTTACATTTTGCAAAACAGTGTTGTCAACACTTATTAAAGCATTTTCAAAATGAAAAGATCCCAGCTGCCTCCTGGAGATTTTGTTCCTTTGTCGGAGATAAATGCCTGTGTGTGCTCCAGGAATCTGTAATTCAGGTGCTTGTGTCCTCAGTGGGGCTCCTTTATTAAAGTCAGTCTATGGATGGTATTTTTATGGGCTTGCTAGATGATAGAAGCTTTATTTGATCAGCAGAGGTAAAATCCCTCTTACTCTAGTTTCCTTTTGTTAACTGTAGAAGACAATATTGTCTACATCATGTATTCTTCTTACTACAAAAAAGGACTTGAGATTAGAGGTCAGTCTTTAGCAGGATACTATCTCAGCCTTTGCATCACTGTTCCCTGCCAACAGCTGCCCATGTGTAATATGTGCCAGTTTGTGCACCGTCCCTGCAGGACAGTCCACAGCAGAAGGAACACTGAAGGAAGCTAGGCTTTGAGGGATCATCCTTAGTCTCTCCATGCTGTCCCTTGGTTCCAGGTAGGATGCAGAGGGTCACTCACACGGGCTGCTCGGGCTCTGTGTGACCTACCATTGATCCTCTATGCTGACACTGCAGCTCAAACCCTGTCACCGAGTCTCAATCACGCCACCACAGCAAGTACCTACCAGGACTGCACGTACAAAGAGCCCCCGACTTGCGGATGAAATGGTAACTGGTTGACCCGAGTAGAGACTGCTGCAATTGAACCCCTGGCCCCCTAACTTAACAGGCATCTCTTACTAGCAAAACTGGAAGTCTGGCCTCCAGCAGCAGCCCTGGATGAAAAGCTCCTGGATGGGAAGCCCTGCAGAAGCCTTGGCCAGTAGAGCCAGGTGATGCTGCCAAAAACGAAGACAATCCACTGAGAATCACATCTGGAAGTGAGCCCATCAAGAGTGTTCTCTACTTCCTACACCCTAAAAACTGCCCATGGGAGACCCTGAAGCCTCCTTTCCTTGGGGAAGCAACCAGCCCATCTCAAAATAATCTACACTTAAAGGGACCTTATGTAAGTCTCTTACATGTAAATATGTCACAGTTCAGGAAATTAACTATTACCTTCTCATTAAGCTCTATCACATGAAAGCAACTGGATAGGAAGATCCTCTTCCCATTTCTTTCCACCCCTTCCTAATTTTCACCTCTTCATCTATCAATCTATTTATCTGTCTCCCCTTTCATTGTGCCAAAAATCGTAATTCCAAACAGTTATCAAAGAACACAAAGTAAACACCCCACTCCTAGTAGAAGGTATTACAAGCCAGCTCTTTATTAATTACCGTTTTACCGAATTACAGTTCTATGTAAAACTCTTTAAAAAAAAAGACGAGTGTGAAGTCACCACTGATGAGAGCCACCAGGCAGGCAATGGATCTCCAACAAAGTCACTTCATTGCACATTTGGTGCAGAGTTCCAGTTCTTAAAAGCTTACTCTCACAGATGAGACAGACAGGCGCACAACCACATATATGGGGAAAGGAGGTCACCAACATTAAACAGGAAGAATAGATTAAAATTATTCCCGAGGATAAGCGATCAGAGTGTGTAGACAGGGCGTCTCTCATTGGGACCTGAGTTGAGTGGTCAGAGATGGCAGGGAAAAAGTAGAAGTGCTGCAGAGGTAAAGCCTCTGCATTCTCCAGTAAAGTCACTACCTACTCAGGGAACAGCTGAAGAGCCTGCATTGCATTCAGAAGAATAAAGCAGTGTGGACAAGAATTGCAAGAGCCCATAGGATTATAATGGCACCAAGACTGACTTTTTAAATCAGAAATCCACTTCTACCTTCATAATTTTTCTTTTTTTAAAGGTGGTGTTTCACCATGATGGCCAGCCTGGTCTTGAACTCCTGACCTCAGGTGATCCACCCACCTTGGCCTCTCAAAGTGCTAGGATTACAGGCGTGAGCCACAGCGCCCGGCCTACCTTCATAATATTTTATCTCCACAAGCTGTTTTTTCCTTCATTAATCCATTTTCTCTCAAATGCACTGCAACTATGCTTTCATCCCCTCCACTATACTAAGCCCGCTCTTGTCAGGGTCAACAATGGCTCCCCGCAATGCCAAATCCAATGGTTAATTCTGTTTTCATCTAGTATCACTTGCCAGCAACACTTGCTGGTGTGTGAAGTGGGACACTTCATTGAAACGCTTTCTTCCCTGGAACATCAGGATGCCACGTTGTCCTGGTTTTCCACCTGTTACCACAGTCCAGGGCTCTCCTTTTCAATCTCCTTGGTAATTTTTCTTCCCTGACTTCTTGGCATTGGAGTGTCCCCAGGCTGTCCTTAGACTCCTCCTCTTTATTACTGACAATTACTCTTTACATCTCCTATCTAGTCTCATGGCTTTAAATGCCATCTTTATGTTGATGACATCTTTATTTATCCCTACATCCTAGACCTCCTCTCTCAAAGTTGTACATCCCACTGCCTACACAACATCCCCATATGGATGTCTAATGTGCTAACATGTCCTGAACTAAACTCCTGACTGTTCCCTCCAAATCTGCCTCATGAATGACCATCCTCAGCTCAGGTATAGGCAACTCCAAGCCTTCCAATGCTCAGGCCAAAAATTTTAGAATCATCCAAGATTTTTCATCAGCTTTATTTTTCATCAAGTTTCTTTTCCTTGCACCTCACATCTATACAAAACAGATGCAAATTCTCTGCCCTTGTAAGACTTAGATTACACTGAGAGTGGAGGGGGCCAATAGAAAGTAATTTCGGTAACATAATAGATTAAGAAAGCAGGATATGGGCCGGGCGCGGTGGCTCAAGCCTGTAATCCCAGCACTTTGGGAGGCCGAGGCGGGTGGATCACGAGGTCAAGAGATCGAGACCATCCTGGTCAACATGGTGAAACCCCGTTTCTACTAAAAACACAAAAAAATTAGCTGGGCGTGGTGGCGCGTGCCTGTAATCCCAGCTACTCAGGAGGCTGAGGCAGGAGAATTGCCTGAACCCAGGAGGCGGAGGTTGCGGTGAGCCGAGATCGGGCCATTGCACTCCAGCCTGGGTAACAAGAGCGAAACTCCGCCTCAAAAAAAAAAAAAAAAAGAAAAGAAAAGAAAGCAGGATAGTGGAAGATTTAGCCTATGACAGAAGGAGGAACAGCTTTTTCTCCAAAGCAAGTAAGACGAGATGCTGGTGGGTTTGGAAGTAGAACTAGACCTTAAGATTGCCTCCATATTCAAGCTGTATGAGAGGGGTAGGTGAGGCCACCCTCCAAGTGAGATGGGAAGAAGGCAACAGGGTAGGATCAGGCCAGAGCAGAGGTGTCAGGAGAGCTATGGCAGGGACGGTCTGGCTGACAGTGGATGCTTAGACTGTGAATTTCCTCCAGCAGCAGTTACTACAGTGTCAGAGCATGGGAGAAGAGAGATTGAAATGAATCTGGCTTGCGTTTTGTCATCGGGTATGGCAGAGCAACAAAAGCATGCGAGGGTGGAAGGGACTGGAGGGTGACTGAAATGATGGTAATGGGATCCAGACTGACTGAAGAGGAAAGGGAAGCTGAAAAGGTGCTGATCAAGTAGGAAAAACAGAGGAGTGAAGGGACAGAGGTCTTAGGAACTGCAGGGTGGGAATGAAGGAGGGAGCAAGGAGAGGTCTTCATGACCAGGGTGTAGGTGAAACATTTGTGTCCCCTAATCCTGCAGCTCTCCCCATGGGGGTGAATCACATCATCTAGGGAGAGATCCCTATATTGCGATGAGGAAAGCTAGTGAAAAATCCACCTGAGCTTGGGATGGTGTAGAAGCGTACCTGGATCTCATGGCCCTTATCCAGGAGCTGAAAACCTGGTTGCCAGTTGTATCTCGGACCAAGACCACAGCAATTATTCTAAGAGATATGTCAACCAGTGAGTGAAGAGATGGGAGGCAAAAAGGGGCAGTTATCACAGAGTTTTAACGGCAGTAGGCAGCCACCATGCTTAGGGCTGGGAACCACAGGCAAGGCCCGGATCATTAAAATGTGGAAGCTTTCCCAGGAGCTGGGAGTGAATCCCCTCAGGAGTGAACACCACTCTCCTGGTACCGGCACCTCAGAAATGTGAGGATCCCAAAGAACGGGGATTCAAAGCTCTCAAGAGGGGGCACCAGCCGACAGTGCTGCGATGTTTGAGTGGCAAGACAAAGCTGGTTCTACGAGTGTGGAAAAGCACACCCTGGCACCTACTGTTCCTTGTGGAGTGAAGAGCCACTGCTCAGCTTGTCGAGAATCACGGCTGTGCCATCGTTCTTAGGAACAGGAAGCGAACAGAAAGGGGCAGCTCCCTTTTTCCCACCTCCACGTTCCAATCTCTTACACGTGTGTTCCTGGTGGATCCTAACAAAAAGCTACCCGGCAGAGGACAGATGTGGTTTGCAGAGTCATGACAAAGTAGAGTATGGAAGGTGTGTCTGGAGCTGAGACAAAAGCCTCACAAACACCTCTCCTGACCAGAAACTGAGCCCTTATCCTGAATCCTGGCTACAAGTTCCGAATCAAAGGATGAACTAACAGGCTCTTAAATCTCAAAGAGACCTATAAAATCTACTGCTATCATATTTAAGACAAGCTAATCTTCAGCTTTTTAATTTTATAAGGGTCAAAAACACAAGCACTTTCTGGCCCGTGTTAGTGTAACATGAGTTGCTATCTCAGAAGGAACTGTAGTAATAACAAGTCAAAGCAGATCAAGCTGCTTTTCCCAAAATGATGAAATCACAATCATGTATTTTCTCAGCCAATTCCTTATAATAAATCTCTCTCCCTCCCCCGCCAACAACCTTCTCTTTCTCCCTCTCTAGCTCCCATCTCTTCGGTTTTCTGTAAAATACTGATAGAGCAGTTGAAGTTTTACACAAATTGATTCCAGGATGCCATTTAAAAAACCCAAGCTTTATCTTCTGCTCATCTTCATCAACAAGATTGCAGGATGGACACCAAGCACCTATGCATCACGTTCACAGGGAAAAGAAAATATCTGTCAGTTACGTCTCTCTTTCTCTTAGAAAACCAACAGTTTTCCAGGAAATCCTACTC